AGGCAATAGACACAAATGAGTCTAGTGCTGTCGCCTCAACTGTTCTATGAATGTCATAAGAGTCCATTGACTGCAATAAAATCCTATGACTGCCATAAAATTTAATGGCTGCCATAAGATTCAATGACTGCCATAACATTCCACTGACTGCCATAAAATTCTATGACTGCCATAACATTCCACTGACTGCCATAACATTCCATTGACTACCATAACATTCCACTAACTGCCATAACATTCCACTGACTGCTATAAAATTCTATGACTGCCATAAGATTCTATGACTGTCATAACATTCCACTGACTGCCATAAAATTCTATGACTGCCATAAAATTCTATGACTGCCATAACATTCCCCCGACTGCCATAAAATTCTATGACTGCCATAAGATTCTATGACTGTCAAAACATTCCACTGACTGCCATAAAATTCTATGACAAGGATTCTATTGTTTTACATAAGATGCTATCTATGACTGTCATAAGATTCCATTGAACTTATAAGATTCTATGACTGCCATAAGATTGAATCACTGCCATAAGATTCAATAACTCCATAAAATTCCATTGATTGTTGTAAGTCTTGCACATTTTGGGCCTTTGTCTTGAACCCTCTAACTTTAATCAACAAAATAATACCAAACCTTCCCCTCTCAGTGCCCCAGTAATATTCCAATGACATCCCCCTCCCCCAATGAGCAAAATAATTATCATGTAAGTCTTGCATATTTTGGGCCTTTGTCTTGAACCCTCTAACTTTAATCAACAAAATAATACCAAACTTTCCCCTCTCAGTGCCCCAGTAATATTCCAATGACACCCCCCTCCCCCAATGAGCAAAATAATTATCATGTATGAAATACAAAGAGATATTAATGCTTCTGTTTCAATAAAAAAGAATTGATATTAAAATAATTAGAAGCAAAGTTTGTTGTCATTTGTTATGGCACAGGTTAGGCTAAATGTGGCCCTCAATTAATACAGTAAAAATATTGTAGCACCAGCAGTTGAAAGGTTGAACTATATCTTAACAATAAGATAGAGTTCAACTATATAATCAATTTATATTTATAAGAGAGTTAAATTATAGATTAGATTCAAGTTATTTTTTTTTTAAATATAAGATTACCCTTAAAGGAATGAGAGGTACACAAATATTTATCTGGTAAACCATATTCAAAAAAAAAAGCCCACACCACAAATTCAAATGTAGCATTCAGGAGTCTGTTGTAGATAAATTAAAATAATATGTTATTGGTCTGCTTAACTAAGTGGTGCCTCACTTAGGTTGTGCATTCTTTTAGAGAGACCAAGGCATACAATATTTTCACATGAATGAGTTGAGCTTCACAGCATAAGAAAAAAATTGATTTTTAAACTAGGTAAAATTACAAGCAAAGTCTTATTAAAAGGCTGCTCAAATAGATTAGCTTGATTGACTAAAAAAAAGTATTTGATAATTAATGAATACAAGTAGTAATGTTATAAAATAAATGGAATAATTGCAAAGAAATCATAGTGTAAAATATTATTATTTTTTGTCACATTGATCCCACTATTTAAAAGAAACATTTTTACACCAATTATCAAAAAATAAAAAAAAAATAAAATTATAAATATATTTCCAATTGATAAAAGCAGCTCCTTACATAACAACAACAAAAAATTACCGGTATGTTCAAATGTTTTAAGGTCACCCGTAAATATAAATCAGATTTTGAGTATAACAATTACAATTTTCAAAGGCTGATTTGTTAGTATTGATTAATTTCTATTATATTAAAACAATCTAAACAAAGTCGAGTTGGTAAAATAAAAAAATAATAAAAATCCCACTGCAAACATGTTTAAGAAACAAGTTAGTGTTATCCATTAGGAAAGAAAAAACTACGCTGCGTTTAAGGGAAACATCACATTTAATGAGTAAAATATTATGATGCAGATGACTTTAAAAAAAACAAAAACAATTCTTTGTTGTCATGAGATGATCTGACAACGAACCTAAACTTGAGGACTACTCTCCAGACAACCAGTGATGTGATAGAGCTACCCACTGACCTTTGAATCTTTCCCAGACTCTAGCACAATAATAAAGTCAATGAAAAATCTCAAAAAGAAGAAACCATCTCATAAAAACAAGCAGAATTGTAAGCTGCTGCATGGGGTTTAAAAAATTTTTTTTTTTTAAATAACCCAATTTTCACTGGCTCTTGTCATAGCAAGGGATTGTTACTGACCACAGTGCCTGGGCTTCACAACCGAGGCTGGATGATTAGAAGTCATGGGTCTGACCACTTTAGAGTGAGTCAAACTTGCAAATATTTCTTTTCATACTATCTGGCCTTAATTTGGTCTAAATGACTTAGCACCAAAATTGTATTTGTCAGGTTATTTTAGATAATGCTCACAGCTTGTAAATGAAAATGAGGCAGCTGTAATAACTGACATGGAATTAAGAACAAATCTGCTGTTTTCGAAAAAAGAACATCTCTCATTGTCTTTCCTAGCCAATAGCATCACTGGCATCAAAAAAATAGTTTTTAAAAAATCTATTGCTTCTTAATTAAAACATTTTATATAAAATGTTATAAAAACATTAAATATTCAGGAGTAGAAATAGTTCCTGAGTATTTTGTGTACATAAAAGGAACTGCTAATACACTTTATTGAAAGACTACTTTACTTTAATCAGGTTAAACAGTTATTTCCCTTTATGATATTCAGTAACATAAATTTATTGCCATATGAAATAGAAAAAATGCCAATTAAAAGAATTTTTTGTTCTCAAGAAATGGGTTTAGAAAGATAATAAGGTGACAGCTCTGACATATGTCTCCCTAAAAATATCTATTGTTTGTGTGGCTTAAACATGCCACACAAACTATAAAATTAATTATTTCCGCTCACTGTGTAAACTCGGCAAGCCTAGCTTTGTGAAAAAGAAACATTATAAAAAGTCTTGTAAAAATTGTTCTGATTTTGTTGTGCAGAATTAATGTTTGATTCATCAGGCAGAAATAAACACAGCCATAATTGTTACACTACATTTCAATCCTGTACAGAATAATTAACAACTCGGACGTAAAGAAAGTAGTGAGGCAGAATGGACAGGAAGAAGTGGGTGGAATGGACAGGAAATGGTGAGGCTGGATGAACAGGACGTGGGGAGGCGAAGGTGGGCTGGCTCATTAATACTTTTAGGAATGTATTTGTACACGATTTAACAGTAAACCTTTGTCAAGATGGCGCATGAACAGTTCATTGAATGATTACGTTTATTGTTGGTTTGGCAGGTTAACTACTGATGCAGGACACATATGAGCTGAGAACAGTTGGAGGACCGATTCAGAGTAATGCAAAAGGTTAAAGCTCTACATGTTTCATTCACATTTGTAGCTGGGTAGCGTGGTTGTTCTGAATTAGATTAACAAATCTCATTTTAATATTTACGAATTTTGAAACCAAACAGACTTCTTGTCATTGAAAGATTTTTTTAAAGGATTATATGGGATATAATAAAAATATATATATATATATATATATATATANTATATATATATATATATATATATATATATATATAAATAAACAATTAGGGGTACACAAAATTAAAATTTTTGCAGGACCCAAAATTTTTTCCAAATACAGTGGTACCTCGACATACGAGTGCCCTAACATACAAGATTTTTGAGATACAAGCCGTCAAGCAAGCGATGTTTTGCTTTGAAATAGGAGAAAAATTTGAGATGCGAGGAACTGGGTCAGCGTGTCAAACCAGTAGTGCCTCGTGCATCTCACAATTTCAGTGTGCTTGTTTGCCTCGCCGTCGAAGCATCTTTGATAAGTTGTTCTTGCGAATTGTGCTTTTAGTGTATTTACAGTACTTATCACATTTCTTTTTATAACCATGGGTACGAAGAAAGTGAGTGGAAAGGTCAGTGCTCAGAGAAGATGACGTCTATTGAATTAAAGCGTGAAAACATAATATACATGAGCAAAGTGTGCAAATGACTGACTTGGCGAGGCAGTAAAGGCGTAGTATTTCAACGAAATGTACTATGCTTAATCAGAAGGGAGTCAGAAAAGGGTACAATGCCAGCTAAGGGCGTTACAATAATTTCTATCTAAGCTCCAGATCTCTCTCCATGAAAAGATGGAGAAACTGCTGATGGTGTGGGTGACGGAGAAGCAGCTTGAAGGAGATACCTTAACGTAGGTCACTTTATAAAACCAGTTTATATCTTTATATTTTCTTTTATTATGTTTTTATACAATATTTGTCATTTATAAATAAATTTTTCTTATTCAAAAACACTTTACAAAAACAACTGGGGTGACATTTTGGGGACTGGAATGGATTAATGGCATTTCAATTAATTTCAATGGGGAAAATTGCTTTGAGATACGAGCAAATTGACTTACGAGCAAGGTTAAGGAACTAATTAAATTCGTATCCAGAGGTACCACTGTATTTTGTTAGGAGGACCTTGGAGATTCCAGATGCTTTGGTTTCCAGACACCCACCGTTTTTATAAATAAATTATATGACCAAGCAAACAACAGGAAAAGATTTGAATCTTATATGCTATCTTATGTACTATTTATATTATAAAACATCTCACAGTTAAAAAAAACTTCGTTATTCATAGTGTTCCAACTTTTATATTTTTTAATTATCCTAAATACCAGTTGAGCTAATAGAGAAACACATCATTGGAAAGAATTGTGATTTTCTGAGACTAAATTGTCATTACTGTCATTCTTAGGCCAGTTTGGGTTTTCCTTCTTAATCATAGGTTCCCTTGACAATGGCTTGCTTGATCGCCAGCTGAGTACATCACTCTTAACAAGCCGCCACAGCAATATCACGTTGATGACATCGACAGCGAAGACACTTATACGCAGCATTTTCAGATACACAGGCGACACCAGGTCAGCCATGGTGAAGCAAGCGCTGGAGATGACGGCCAGTGGGACCCCCCTGAATACAAGGAAAGTGAGCAGGTTGAGGTGCTTGATGACTACATACTTGGGGCTGTCAAAGGGCGTTTTCAACATCTGCAGGAGCTTCCTCCAGTGAAGAAAGACAGAGTTCACCTCCACGCTCAGGGCTATCAGGGTGAAGCCTATCTGAGCTCTTATGGCAATGTTGTAGAAGAATATTGAAACCACCTGTGATAGGGATGAGAAAGATATTGCAACTCTCAGGAAATAATGTGTGCATACAAACCTTAAGATGAGCGTTTAATAGGGTTCAATCAATTCATCAGTATATAAGTCATGTAAGTAATTGGCGATTGGCATATCAGAACATGTGTTTATCTAGTCATCAGCCTCTATTGACAGATTAATCAGCTAATTATCAGATGTGCTAATCAAGCATTATTTGCAGATCTGCATAGTTTTAATAAAGTAATTATTGAACTTTTAATATGATTTCATTAAATTTTTAACCAAAAAAAAATATTTTTGCTTATGAACATCTATATCTTTTTTCCCCTCCAATAGTCGATTTTTGTTTTCTATGTTACTGTTTATGCGTTGCCATGGTGACTTCTACTGTACACATGTAGCTAATTCCCTCTTTCATAATTCTTTATTTCATCTTCCTTCTATCGCATGAAATTAAATGAAAAGAGAAGCAAACTTTATTTATAAAATGACATGCATCTCCGGAGCATCAGATTGCCAGCCAGGCGTGTGCTTCTGGAGCTGGTAGTCAGAAATAAATATCAGACGTGAGACGTTCTGCTGTTACAAATCTGCAGTGCGATTGTAGCTTAAAAGACCATATCGGATAAGATGATATGGGTACTGGTGGTGCAGTTGTTCATATTCTTCTTTGGACTGTCCTGACACACTCCTGCATATGCTGCCACTTACCGCCCTCCCAAATTCCAAAACACTAATGCCCATTGCGAAAATGTTCACGCCTTGCTCACCTGTTGTTACAAATTAACACCTCAAAACACTGTCTCTCTTAGGTTTCAACTAATTTGTGGTTTCTTCAATTAGAAGAATCCCTTGCACAATAAACACTAACCATAAGGCGGTGCAAATGACCTGAACATAAAAAAAAAAATTCAGTAATTTTTTTTAAAAACTTATTCTTACAACAATGATCCAGTGGAGTGTTGTTTTTTTTGGTGGTGTTTTTTTTTAAAAACTATTTCACTTACCGCCACATGATGTACTGCAACCTGCCAGAACACCTTCATTTTCTTGTTGCGTAACAGATCCAGAAAGTCGTACATAAAGTAACCTGAGAAAATAAAAAGGAATAGGATTTAACTGTAGCAACTTAATTTCATTTTTAAAATAAATTTTACTAACCCAACCCAATAATCAGATTTTAAAGGTAAAAAGAAATAGAACAAGATGTTTTTAATTATTTAAACAACAGAGATAATATTTAGGTATTGGGAAATGTGTAAAAGAAAGGGAGAAGCAACTAAAGGGATGTAGGGACATTTATAACTTAGGGAGATATTGGCACATTTATAGCAAGGAAAATGTGGGGGGAAACCTATAGCTGAATGAGATGTGGGTAAAATTTATAGCAAAGCAGAAGTGGAGAGATGTTTAAGAAAGGTAACTATGGAACATTAATAACAATGGGATGAGTGAACATTTATACTAACAAAGGTGATGTGCCTTATATTTATAACAAGCAAGGTGTGAAAACATTTATTTGCTGAATAAAATAGCATGATTTTTTTTTTTTAAATTGGTTATCCATGTTGGAAAATGTCTTTACCAAAATGTATTTTGTTGACTAATTTCTTTATCTTCATCAAGACTTTGCAGGACGTTTTTTTGGGTGTTTTTTTCATGAGAAAACAACTCAGCTAAACTTGAACAGTAAATTTTCATAACTATACTAACCTGTACCAAAACAAGTACAAAAATAAGTGAAGTAGTTTACATGGTGAATAAGGTCATTTAAAAACACAGGGTACACAAGCATGCTGAAAAATAAGAAATGCAATCATTCATAGGTGAAAAACTTTCAGCTTGTGATATTAAATTATTGTAAGCGATTTCTTTTCATTATTAACATTTTGTGGTAAAGTGGTGTAAGTATTTTATTGAATTATAACTATGTTTAACTCAACAAAAAAAGTATGTTTTCTTATTTTATAAATAACTCGTTACTTGTAAAGCCATGTCATCCTGCACACAATAAATTAAAACTAGTTTTAAACATATAAAAATATATAAGGCATATACAAATCATAATCCAATTTATTGTTCACTGTATGTACGTCCAAGTTACTTAGGCATTTTAAATAATTAAAACCCAATAACAATATGACGCCCATTAAAAGATGTGACAGAGTAAGGCTACTACAAGGACATCACTGAACAAATGAACTAAATACATGCTAAAAATTCACAAAACAAGAATAGATAACATCAAATAAAATGGTTGCTGGGTATAAACGAAACAATTCCTAGTCAGGTTGGCAATGTGTTGGGTACAATGAAACAATCACTAGTCAGGTTTAAAATGTGTTGGGTACAATGAAACAATCACTAGTAGGGTTAACAATGTGTTGGGTACAATGAAACAATCATTAGCCAGGTTGAAAATGCGTTGGGTGCAACTAACCAATCCCTATTCAGGTTGACAATGTATTTTATTATTTAAGCTGAATGTGAATCCATTGGCCGTTTTAGCAGCAATACCCTTACTAAAAAAAAGAAAAGCATAAAATAAGAAGAATGTAGTACAAAGAAACTGGATTATCCTATCCTATTTGGATATCAGAGATGGACCACACATTGAATTAAAAAAATACAGATAATTAAGTGAACTCTAAACTGGTTAAAGAGAAAATAAAATCTGTTTAATTATAAAATTACTATTTTATTCTTTAGAGACAAAGTGTTGCGTCATGGACATGATGGATGGATTTTGCTATGGGCTTGGGTTTTGCTGAACACTTTATACATTTATCTCAATTTGATGCAAAAATTATATTAGTTTTTTTACAAGTTAATTTTTACTTTGACAATTTTTAAATATTACTAAGCGTAGGTGTTATAGAGAGCTAGGGGTGTGCCGGATCCGTTTTTTCCAACCGGATCCGGATCCGGATTTTCTTATGCGAAATCCGCCGGATCCGGATACCGGTTTCTCCCGGATTCCGGATTTTGGTACTATTGGTAGATACTTCGGTAAGTCAAGGTGGACTACTACTTTTTGTGTATGGGAATTCGCAATCGGCGCCAAAAAATCCGAGTTTTTAATTTTCCGATGTGTGTGTCTATTTATTATTAAATTAGTACTTTCGATATATATTTGAGTTCCGTTCCATTTGGATAAGTGTCTTACGAGAGACGCCATGTTTCTACGCGTTCGCAGCAGGTCATGCAGCTCGCTCAACCTAATTTCGCCATGGGGTTGGCCACGCCCCCCTTTTTAATGGCGGAAGTTGACGATACTTAGGAAATATTAATTTATTATCACTATTTACATCAAAATAATTGATAACTTGTGTTTCAGAATGCATTTAAAGACATTTAAACTGGAATGTTTTAATTTGAGCTTTAACAACCCGGTAGAATCCATATTATAAATGATCAGAATTTACCGTGTGCAACACGTTGTCATTGGCAACCATTCACAGCCACTTGCATAACTGTATCGTAGTACTACCTCAGAGTTTCATTCATAAGAGTTTGCCGTGTGCAAAAACTATTAAACCATTGGTCAGGGAAAGCTTTAATTAATTATTCATGTGCCAAAGTTGAAAGTTTAAACTAAGTCTAAACAGTATTTTAGTGATAAGGCAGGGAATGCGTTGCCTTATATAAACTATATAGTCATTGCGCATGACGGGATTGGTGGAATGAGATCACAGAATGTGGAGATGCAGTCCATGTTAAAAAATGACAAACCAAGTCGTACTTTAAAAATTCATAACTTTAAAACTACAACAGCTAAAAATATGATTTTGGTGTTATAATTCTTTAAAAAATTACATCTTTTCAACTATGCCATTGGTTTATTTTTACAAAAAGTTTAAATTTTCTTATCAAAGTCCCTACACTATTGGCCACTATTAGCGGTGCTGACTCTAGCCTCTGGTATGTACGGAATATTAAACATTAAACAAGCTCAACGCTCGAAACAATCGATTAATGTATCGTGATCGTGTGAAATTCGGGAAAGAGAATTACTTTTATTTCAGATTATGATCCGGTGAGTCACAAAATCTGGCAAATTCCGAAATCCGGTATATTCCGGATTCCGGAATCCGGTTGTTCCGGATACATGTAAATCCGGCGGAACCGGATTTCACCGGATAGTGCAAAATCCGGCGGAACCGGATTCCGGACCGGGGTCCGGCACACCCCTATAGAGAGCTTGTTTACATCATATTTCTCGTGCGTGCCCTCTGATTGACCCCGCATGAGACGCTGTGTTCACAAAGGGGTATGGCTTAGGCCTTTGAATTATCTTGTTTACAATCGGCTTCCAATTACGCATTGGGTATAATGACTCCGGGTACCTTCTGGAATGTACTCCTTAACCCGAGATATGTAAACAACAGGTCCTAAGCCTTCTGGAAGCGTCTTACTCTACATGTATATAAATGATTGACAGATACAGAGGCGACGGAGATTTCAGATAGATTTTCTTAACATTACGAGGCGTGTTTTATTCTTTGTGTATTTGTGTGCTCCTACTTATATGTGTTTATTTCGCATTATTTATTGGCATCATTATTTCAAATTTTATTAACTGTGTACCGGTACGAGATCTACCATACTGTAAGTTGAAGATTGTAATTTTAATTTTATTTTATTTTGTAATTATCTTAAGACATAATAAATCTTAATTAAATTGTAACTAGAAACTGTTTTGGGTCGTATCTTTAATATTGTTGATTCTATGGTATCGTCCTTTGTTAGGCACTGTTTACAACGAGCCAATTAAAATTAAAATAGGAGATTAATTTCTCCCAATACAAGTCAGTGCGTAACAGTAGGCCTTTAGTAAATTATAGGCCACTCTTTTGAAACTTTTTAACTGAAGAATCATCAAGAAATTTTCAAACAGAGATTCAGAGATTAAATTGACCTGAGTTAGCCTATAGTAATTTGTATGCTTATGTTATTAACTATATGATGATACTATGGTGGTACTTCCAAAAAAATTCAACAAAGTATTAAAAAAGAACAGTTGCATAGAGCAAACTTTAATAGAGAAATAATACTAGAATAAACATTTTAGCTTTAGTACTTTTTCAGCTATGAATTTTTTAAGTGTGAATTAGTTTTTAATTTTTTTACTAAAGACTGCACCTCCACATTTGGTGACCTGATTCTGCTGATTGTGTCACATGCTATTTCTCTTGTTTAAATGATAATTTTAATATTAATTTTAACACTACTATGCAATTATATTGTAATTTAAATTGTAAATTATCTAGCTAAGTAATATGCATTATTAGCAAATTTTATGATATGGCTGTTCCGTTTAACACATTTATGGTGTCCTTTATAAATAAAGAGTCTTTATAATGCTTGGCTTCCCTATGAAAATAACACTAGTTTCGGACTACTTATTTTGAATTTTCAACTTTTACACATCGACATCACTAATAAATTAAAGCTCCCTCTGACTATGATTTAATACTGTTTGCTTATGACAGTCTAATATGAATGAAACCATGAGTAAAATACTATAGTAGTATAGCACATGCAAGTGACTGTGAATGGTTGCCCATGACAATGTTTTGCACACAGCAAATTATGATTATTAATAATATGGAGTCTACTGGGTTTTTAAAACTCAAATTAAAATAATCTTGTTTAAATGCCTTGTAAGTTCATTCGAAATCACAAGTTATCAAATATTTTACATTTTAATGTAAGTAGTGGTAATAATTTAATATTTTTTAAGTATCTGCAACTTCTAACCTTTAAAAGGGGTGTATTGTCACCTTATCAAATGTTTGGGCTCAGCAATATTACCATACTTGTGGCTTACCCAACTGAGCATAACTAATGGCCGACGTCCTAACTCAATGAGAATCGGCACAAATATACATCAATATGTAAGGCTCAGGAGGCTTTAATATGAATGACATAGATTTTGAACTTCTTCAAAAATGTTTTTGGGAAAGACAACAAATTCATTAGTAGTGAATTGAATATTTATATGGCAGTGTCTACACGTCCGGCGACCGGACGAGTAGTGCGGGTCATTTGCGTCTGGCGGGCAAGTCACGTGACCGCTGGACACCTAGTGGGAGATTTTATTCCGCGACAGACATGTCATGTGACCGCCAGACAAATAGTAGGTGTTATTATTATGATATTCCAATATTGTGTACATATATTACATATATCAGTAGGCCAATCCCTAGATAATAAATAAATACAGAACATGTTAATATATTCATATGCTCTGAGATACATAAAGTCTATCGTAAGCATTTGACTTTGAATATTAAACTAGTTGGCCTATATACTAACTAGTAGTACTCTTACTACTATTACTAGTCTATTTAATTCCGACTCTTCAAAGAAAAAAGTCTGTTATCTTGGTAAAACATTTCAAAAAGCTCTACCTTGAACTAAGCGTAAATTTAAAATATGAACCAAATAAAATAAGACCAGTAGACTTCAAAAGATCTATGCCAATAAAGTTGTATTTTAGGATTAGTATTCAGTATTGCATGAGAAGTAGCTAGGCTACCACTATATCGGCCCTATATTAAGATGTAGGCAGGGTCTATTTCTTTGTGAACTATTGGCCTCCCCGCCTTAAATTTAATTATTTATCACCCTCACTCTTATTTCTTTATTACTGTATTTCTCTATCCCTCTCAGCATTTCTTCCCTCTAGAATGCATTATTGCTTAACACTCCCCCACCCCAACACCTTTTTTTTGATGAGCATCCAATTCTATCGACATGATTTAAAATTGTCTCCCCCCCCCCAACCCCTTTGTTTTGGTAACTTACCCAAGTATTTTTATCTATTATTTGTTTACAAGATACTCGGTAAATTACTGTAAAAACTATTCGCTACGGCCTACATGCATCTCCGACGCCATTTTTCTGATCGACTGTACAATTATCGGTCACATGACAAGGCTGACGGACAATTCTCTCGTGCCACTTGTAAGCCTCTTTGGTACGGCATTCATGTGCTGTGGATGCCGGACAAATATCTTGATAAAGTATTCCTCCGGCGGTCATGTGACTTGGTCGCTGGACACATATCTCCCGCACTATTCATCCGGTCACTGGAAGTGTAGACACTTCTTATTTATATAGCCCTGGTACCCATGGGTCCATGCTACTAGGTACTTTGACACAAAATTTAAATATTGTTCGACTGCCATGAATGAAACATCATTTTAAAGGGCTAGCTATAAGCTTTACAACAACACCAATTTCATCTTTCTATCTTTAGAAGTGGAGTTACGATTTTTTTGGTGATTTTTCAAAACTCCCTTCTTTATCTTTGTATTTAACTGAAAAAACGTGTGACCCACTTTCCAAATTTCTGCCTTATTTGCCCAAACTTTTGGATTTTAAAAGATAATGCTACCAAATTGTCAGAAGACATTCTCAATGCAATATACATCAAAATAAACAACAAAACTTTTATATAACATCAAGATTTTTAAATTTTTGATATATATATTTGTGGGTATGTTGAGAAAAAAGTGAACAGAAAAATTGGGAAAATCATTATTTATATAGGAAAAAACGAAAAAATAACATGTTTATTGAATTTTAACTCACATTATTATGCTTTTGTTAAATTTTAAATCAATTATTATATTTCTATTAAGGTAAGTAGTGTTTTTGTATGTATAAAATTGAACGCATGTAATTATAAATAAAAATTACTCAAATAAAATCATCCATGATGATGAGACTAATTCATTAAAAAATGTTATTTGATATATTAAATAATTGCCTATGTACTGCTTTTCTATGTCCTAATAAATATATAATTACTACGATGATCTTGTTTGAGTCTTTTTTATTAATTTGAAGTATTTTAATAAAACTGTTATATATAGGCTTAACTAAAAAATATATTATCTAGACTAGACTGTTAATTCAATAAACTTACAATTATCTGATTCTAATAATATATTATAGCCTTTAAAGACACACAGTAAGAAGGCTAAGAATTAGAATGTTACATTAACTTTACAATTATTTAAAATGTACATTTTAGTACATTAAATTAAAACAAACACACTAACTTAAATTGGGCATGTAAGTGTGGTGGTAGTCGTAGTAATAGAATTAAGCTTAGCTTAGGCCTAAATAATAAATATTATAATAACAGTTGTTTATAATTATAATTGATAAGTAGGCCTAATTTTAGTAATATTCTCTGAAATAATTAATAAGAGAAAAACGATTATTATTATTGATATTACTATTGTAAAACTTTTAAATTAGATATTGATTCAATAATGAAGAACGTAACTGTGTACCGCTACCGTACACAATTTTTAATGTAATAATTAAAAATGAAAACCAACGCTTGGTTACTACATAAACTTTTCAAGTTTGGTTATAATCTTTTCTTAAAATTATTCATTTTAAATGTCTTATAATTATTTAGATGTTTAAGGATTTAACATTAACGAATCACAGTGATAGCAGCCATTTCCGGCTTCTCGATCAAAATAAAAAATAATGACAATTTTATACCCCCCACGTCTTCGTGGGAAGCATAACTTTTTATAGATAGCTCAACGATAATAACTCAAAAAATGAAAAAACTCATACAATGAATGTAGATTGGGTAGCAATAAAACTTATTTTGGTTGATTTACTAGTAAAAAAGTATTTATGTGATTTATATGCTAACCGAGTCATTATAATAATACTGTCCGTGATGCACAAAAAATCTAGTAGCATTAATCAATATATGACCGGAAAACAAAAACTGATACGTCACTGATGAGGAAAGCAAATATTGAATAAACAAAGATGACGTAGTATGCAATTTTCCAAAGATACCGTGTAGCTGTACGCCATATTGTAGAAAAAGTTTTTTCGACATTTTTGGACATGCGCAGATCGATGCTTCGACTAGTTTTAAAGTGCCTAATGGCCTAATGCTACTTTAGTTTTAGCGTGTTCACAGCCCTCTGATGTTCTTAAACCTATTTAAATAAAAAAGTTTTTAAATGTTTCTTAAATGATTTTTTATCATTTTCAATTTCCCTCAAAGATTGGGGCAAACTGTTCCATAATTTTGGCGCTACCGCTTCAAAAGAGCGCACTCCGTATGACTTTTTTCTGTGTCCTTCCACACTGGCAACTTTCATAATTAAGGCATTAAGGACTGTGCACTTTTGCAAAAAGTTTTAGATTTTAACTGCCATCCCGATGATTTTTATTTTGCTATTTATTACAAGCATTAGAAACATACATTCAATAAACAGAATCACTTACCACATTAAAACCCACGTAGCGCTTAAACATGAATGGATCCACGAAACAAACAAGTTTCTCCATTTCCACTCATCTTCCGTACGTACTGATGACGGTCGACCGATTGATTTGACCATACCGTTTACTAAATTAAAAAAAGTTATACTGACAAGAATAACGATCATCCCATATTTTAATTCAACTTCATCTCTAAGCGCATCAAATCCGTCCGTATTTTCCACAACCATTTTTGAAGTGTTGTGTGAGGAGTTACACACAGTTAGATATTTATTATGAATTTTCTGTCTTGACGCGGAAGTAACGCCCGCAAGTCCTGCAGTTACTGACAGTAGTGACGCCAATAACAAAACAATTCCATGCAAACATTTTGTTTTCATTATTCAGTGAAACAGATAGAGATCAGTAATAAAGTTTACGTTTTTATATTTATTTTCAACATTTTCTTTGCTATAACAGTTCTTTATTTCCCTAATAAAGGTTGTATTTCCAAATCTGATTAAATATAATTTGTAACCAAGGAAAAGATTTGTCTATCGTCATGGTTAACTGTTGGTTTTTGTGGGAGTAAGGTGGTCCTATAAGTCAATAACACTATTAATTATAATGTGTTTGATTGGTGGGGTTAGCAGTAATGGGTTACTTTATTCAATTTTTTTATTTTGATATTTTATGCTCTGTTGTTAAAGGCTACACCTTATGCTTTAATTTAGATGTACCAAAAATTAAAAAAATAATATTATTTATCTGGTTACAAAGAAAATAGCCATTGCACTCCAAATTAAAAATAGAATGACTATTCGTTAGAAATTGTCCGGCTACCAGCCTAATAGCCACCGATTATTGGCTTAAGACTTAAATAACAAACAATAAATAAAGACTTAGCGAGATTATTAAAAGAAATTCTAGGAAACTCCACTCAGCTCTGAATTTCAAAAAATCAAAAACTGACCAGTTCATGACTTTGTCAAGTTCAATATCAGCTGCCTTTAGGTGTTATTTTTTTAAATAGTTCATCTTATGATAACTCACTATAGATGATGGGAGTAAACTCTTGGGCTGAACAGCCCCAAACATATCTGCTACTTCCTTGATCACTGATGATCGTATCTCAGAGTGTCTGCGGTTCAGAATGAAAGAGATCAATACACTCCGGCAACTCCGTACTGTATTCTTCTCGCAGAGAGAGAGAGCCCAGCATCTAATAGTTGTTCTCCTCACTTTCTCTTCTTAAACCTTCATCTTCTCTCCATCGAAATTCCATATGACCATATCGGTTTGATTTTTTAAATGTGTCATTTCAATGGCATGTTCCTCAGAGTGATAGTGCTTCCCTTAAAAATAATCTGGTCATCCACAGAGTGACAGTGCTTCCCTTAAAATAATCTGGTCATCCTCAGAGTGACAGTGCTTCCCTTAAAAATAATCTGGTCATCCTCAGAGTGACAGTGCTTCCCTTAAAAATAATCTGGTCATGTGTGTGGGAGGGGGTGACTATCACTACTATCCGTGTTTCTTTCAGACATTTTCCCCCCGGGGAGCATTTCTGATATTGGGGGGGGGGGGGGGGGGGGGTGCAGTGCCAGTTACCACGGGGAGGTGGCCAGAGGCGTACCTAAGGGGTGGCAAAGGGGGCATGCGGTCCCGGACGCCAGACTAGCGGGGGCACCAAAATGTGCTTTAGTGGTGTTTGATGGTTGAAAATATTTAGTTAGTTTTAAAGTTGGGGGGACGTAAAAATGAATCATGTCACCCTGACGCCAAACTAGCTACACCCCTTCCAGTGGTGTAGAGAAATGGAGGGTGGGGTTGTTCATCCAGGTGTCACTTTTTTCTTTATAATTTATATATAAATGCGGCACTTTCGGACAACTGCAGAGTTTGTATCGTTAAAGAGAGGGGGGGGGGAAATACTTGACCCCCATGGCTGCACTAAAAGTAGCTACACCTTTAGGCAGTGTGTCTCTCGTCACCAAAATTATTGAACATTTTCATGGGGGTGAAAGGTAGAAATCGAGGGCGCTGATGACTCTTTCTTTAATTTATATAAATATTTTTAAAAAAGCAAAACAAAGATCATAGTGGTAAACTCAACCAAACAAAAAGTAAATCTCTCTGGTAGGAAATGCACTGAAAGTAGTGGAGTCCGTCACATACTTAGGCAGCACCATCGACATAAATGGTGGATCCGAAGCGTAAGTAAGGGCTAGAATTGGAAAGGCTGGGTCAGCATTTGTGCTATAGGGAAAATATTGGAGTAAAAGAAGCTGACGCTTCAAACCAAAGTCAGAATTTTCAACACAAATGATATCAAAATAGGGCTATTATATCGAGCACAAACTTTGATAACAGCGAGCATCACGCAAAAAGTACAGACCTTCATAAACATTTGCCTTAGAAAGATCCTGAAGGTCTAATGGCATAGCAAAATCACATACCAGAAGCCTATTGCTGAAGACATAAAGAAAAGATGGATGTGGATAGGGCACACTCTCATCAAACCCCCAATTAGCATCACCAGACAAACACTAACATGAAATTCACAGGGAACAGAAAGAGAGGAAGCTTCAAAAATACATGGAGACGAGATCTAAAGGCAGACACGCAAGGTATAGGATACAAATGGAAGCAACTGAAAAGAAACGCACAGGACAGAGACATATGGAAAATTCTTGCCGACGCATTAAGCCCAAAACTGGTAAAAAAGCATAGTACGTAAGTAAGTGAGATGAGTCTTGGGCGTTTGAGGGTTCTGGGGGAGCCTTTAACAATAGTTTTATAAAAAAAAACTATTATTATTAAATAATAATAAATTTTATTATCAAACGGCGCCTCTTTGGAGAATATTTCAATTCAATTTTTCTATTAGACTTTTTGATCAGGGAAAGGAAATTTTTAAGGGTCTGAGGAGGCATCATGGTGCCAGTGTCCAAAATGACTGAATTCACTTTAGTTGTGGCGTGCACCAGGGTAATCATTTGGCACAATATTATTTTTAACCATACACTGTAACATTGATCAGCGTGAGAGAAGGGGTGCAGAAATTGAGGGTGCTGGAGACAGTCACGCAAATTCAAAATGCAGGGGTGGACTTTGGCACTTACTTGAATTCGATGTTTCTTTCAGTCAACTTTGAGGAGACATTACAAACTTTCTTTTGGGAAGCACCAAAATTAGCCATGATATTGATCAGAGACACCAGAGGGACATGAACTAATTTCATTTCAGTTGTATTGCCCTTGAGGGTATCAATTTTCCTTAGCTTAATATCGCCTATTAAATCTTTTTATTCCCCAGAAAATTTTTGACAAATTCAAAATAAAAGAATGCATTTTAGCAAATACTTTAATTTAGTTTTGCAGCATTCTACACTTGGAGAGCAACGGAAGAGATGCTAGTTTTAAAAAAAAAAATTAGGTGTCACGTAACCTTAGAAACATCGTGTGAGCCCCGCATCCCTTACGACTGCAGTGGGCCTCTGATATTTTAGGGGCTTAACGATGTGGTGTGAATAATTTCTTACTTATCATTTTCAATGCAAGCTGGCGGAGAAAAACCCAAAAAGTAGCAAAAAGGGCCTCGAAAAGTCGAGCGACGCCTCTGCAGCACCTGCTTGTGCTATGCAAACATTTTTATATTACTAAATATAAATGTGGCTTTAATTATTTCATTTAACCCTTTTTTGGGTCTTAGCTACATAATTAATCAAAGTGAATTTTCAGGGGAAAAAAAAAGGTCTTCCATCACAAAAGCACCGCTAACATTATTTTATATTTTGAATAGAAATTTAAAAAAAATATACTCCAAATAATCAACTTACGTTCAATAATAAACTTACTTCTTCAGTTTAACTAAAATAAACTACCACAAATGACATCCGAATAGCATTTGACCAATGGAACCCGGGTTCGAATAGCGGCGCTGCGTTTCCGGGGCCATTTTGACTAAATGCCATTCGGAATTAGTCCCAAACATATAGTCCATTCAACTATCTTTCATTTGATACCTCATTTTATCTTACAAACCCAACACTAATATTTTAAATAGCTTTTTTTTTTAATCCCAACCTCTAACTTCTGGTAGCCTACTTGGGTACGAAAGCCACATCGAAAATTAAAACCTATTGTGGCATTGTAGGCCGCGGTGGTTTTACGAAAGAGCGTTCACCACCCAAAAACTCATGGAATCTGACCTCGGGCTAGGCCAGTGGTCGGCAAACTCAATAGTCAAAAAATCAGCAGCAGGACGCTTTAAAATTTGTTTGAAAGCCACATTTCTTTTCAAGAACCTGTAAAAAAACATATTTTTCGTAGTCAAAACCGATTTGTGGCCGACTGGTCGCGCCGCACTCACGTCGCTAAAGAGCCGCTTGCGGCTCGCAAGCCGCGATTTTCCGAGCACTGGGTTAGGCTATCAACCGACCACTGGGTCAGGCTATCAAAACATGACATGAACGTTGTCTCCCCCATCGCTTAGAATTCTTAAATATAGGCAACTACTATGTGTACTTTTGGTATAAGTTCAATAATTCATTTCTCTGGAAGCCTAGATCATTATGCTATGGCTCATATCTTGTCATAAAGAAGATTTTATTTTCTATACCTTGGTATATGTGCTAGTCTACATTTTTAGAGGGTATTGTAATATTAAGTACTTAAGAGAGTTTTCACTTTCAGCCGTGGGGGGGTGGGGGGGGGGCCCCAAGCCCTTCTATTTAAAATCTCTCCAAGATCATTTTACTTATACATAAATTATGCTATGGCTCATATCTTGTCATAAAGAAGATTTTATTTTCTATACCTTGGTATATGTGCTAGTATACATTTTTAGAGGGTATTGTAATATTAAGTACTTAAGAGAGTTTTCACTTTCAGCCGTGGGGGGGTGGGGGGGGGGTCCCCAAGCCCTTCTATTTAAAATCTCTCCAAGATCATTTAACTTATACATAAATATCTTTAGATAGCCGAGACAAAACGTGAAAAGACACTTACGTCTTCAAGTTCAATATTATGGTCTGGCATTTTGATTTTTATCCTGGTTGGAGTCTCTAGTGATTATTAATTAACCGGCAGGAAATCTATCAGAATTCAAGGAATAAGTTAAAAAAAGCCATTCTGTTCGACGTGTTGATGTAAATGCTCTCTTGTTTGTCCGCACATCCCTAATAACTCAGTTACTAACTGTGTGTGCGCGCGCGCTAATGAGTTGTTGTTGTTGTTTTTTTTTAGTTCAAAGTTTTAATGGCATTCCTAAAGTGCGCCATTGTTCACCGGCCAATTTGGAATTTGGACAACTCTGTAAGTAGAAACACATACGCCTTTATATTTCTGTGGTTGTGGAATGCGATTGTTAGGTGTTAGCAATGGAGGTTTTATGTTCATGACTTATGATAGGCAGCAGTGCTTTAATCACATGTTAGCTCCGTCAATTTAACTTGTAACCATGATATTGAATTGGTTGATCAGACAGCAGTCCACTTAATGCTTAAGTTGGATTAGATGCCAGTGTGTACGTGAGCAAAAGCACCAACCACTCTATCGTTTCTGGTTAGACATACTGCAATGTGCTTAAAGCTATTGACACATCAGTATCCAACGAATATACGTAAAATATGTGTAGTAGGCTAACTATCTTGCCATGTGCTAGATACTCATAGGAAATGGTGCATGTGTTAAGTTAATATTACCATCTGTATTAATATGATTATAAATTATGCACTTTACTTTTGTCTTAAAAAGATTCAGCCATTGATTGATACAAGTATCAAACTAACGGCTATTATACTATATAACATTGTAGAAACTGTCCTGCTATGGGTGCATCTTACATAGGCACAATACATGGACGACAGTACAAGTACAATGGTCATTTCTAGACCTGCATGTTGGCCCTCACATCTCACACCTTTATGTTGGCCCTCACATCTCACACCTGTATGTTGGCCCTCACATCTCACACCTGTATGTTGGCCCTCACATCTTACACCTGTATGATGACCCTCACATCTCACACCTGTTTGTTGGCCCTCACATATCACACCTGTATGTTGGCCCTCACATCTCACACCTGTAAGTTGGCCCTCACGTCTCACACTGGTTCTGAATGTAAGACGATGCACGCGCTTCGAGTTAAACAATGCCACGTGATTTCCGTCCATTTGTATAACATGTACGGCTATATTGTTAGTTAAGTATATTTTTTGTCATAACCTATTTTTCCAGAGTCATTTAACCTGTTTGATGTTAGTCATGACATTTTTAACCTGTGCTATTTGTATCTTCTCAGTTAGTGTCCTTTTTGTTTTAGATCTTGTCATCGGACATATTTTTTAACGATTTTCCTTTAGTTTGTCCTTCGGTACCATTTTCTTACAACTGTTTGCTAACGATTTTGCTTAAGTTTGTCCTTCGGTACCATTTTCTTACAACTGTTTGCTAACGATTTTGCTTAAGTTTGTCCTTCGGTACCATTTTCTTACAACTGTTTGCTAACGATTTTGCTTATGATTTAACCCCCCCCCCCACCCCCCTTTCCACCCCTGTTTATACAACACTAATAGAACCAAATAAAGGCGATATTCCTCTAAGCCTGCGTTTATTGTGTTTATATTTAAAACTGTCAGCTGTATCATCATTTTAACCCCCCCCCCCCACCCCCCTTTCCACCCCTGTTTATACAACACTAATAGAACCAAATAAAGGCGATATTCCTCTAAGCCTGCGTTTATTGTGTTTATATTTAAAACTGTCAGCTGTATCATCATCACCACACGGCTAAACTTATTACGATGCCAGTTGTATCCCGATAGCCTTCGGTATCTTCCTCTTCAACCTTACATATTAAGGCTAATGGGGGACTGGTTTCATTAATACACTAAAAATCCTAAATAAATTTAGTATATACTGACAAAAATAGATTTTTATAAAATATGCGACGCACCGGGCGACACCATCACAATCCACAAGGTAGTGGGTTGACGGCAAAATTGTGGGAGAATCCTATGTGACAGAGCTCGCCTGAATTGATCGTAGTAAACACAAGAACAACACGATGCCACCAGAGCAGGGTTCTCCCAGAAAAATTTAACAGGCTATAGGAAACTATATTGAGATCATAGGAAACTACTATTGAGATGGTTAAGATTACTGTACTTGACAGCCTAACCAGTTAGGCCCTTTACATTGAAAGATTGGTTTTGAGAATTAAAACATATCACTGGTTTAAATATCACATAATATTATAGTCCGACCTAGAAACGGACACAAAAGTAAATATCAATACCCAATTTTATACAGTTGAAATGTTGAGTTAGCTTAGCACTGCTACTCCCATGATAGTAAAACGGAAAAAAATATATTAAAAAAAAAAATCATCCTAAATTAGTCTTAAAAATGTATATACTCTTTGAAAATAATCATAAACATTAAATGATATTGAAAAATTTTGTGATGATATTGTACGATTTTAAGAGTTTGAGGGTTAAACAGGTCTGTAATGCCTAATGTACAAGCAACAAACAGTAGCATGAATTGAGCAAAAACCTCACCATTTAATGCAGCGACTCTCAACCCTTGAATCGCGATCTCTTTAGGGGTTGAATGACCCTTACACAGGAGTCCCCTAAGACCATCGTAAAACCCATATTTATGAAGTAGTAGGGCCTAATAAAAATAATTTTAGTTGGGCGTCACTACAACATGAGGAACTGTATTAAAGGGTCAGGGTATTAGGAAGGTTGAGAACCACTGATTAAATGAATATATGGATAAATTTAAATATTAGTATAAATAAATTATTTGTATACAGTTTTGTTGAAATCACATCTATAAAAAGGGCAAATAGAAAATATGTCACAATACACACCCCCAAACCTATATTATTTAAATTATAAACAATTAATAACTTGTTTTATCATGAATCTTAACCCAATAATAAGCTATTCAATTTGTTTATATTTTTATTTTTAATCTTGAAAAGAAAAATTTAAATAAGATTCACTAAAATTGTATAGTTATATAGTCAGTTAAATAAATGATCCAACAATCCACCTTACTGTACATCATTAAAAGATGATTTGAGAGTAAATTATGATTACTTCTAATTCTAATGTTTTAAAACAATTATAACAAGTTTGATGAATCTAAACCAAAATGCCAAGATTAAAAAAAAACAACTCCTAACTAATTAGCTCTGCCTTGTGAATAAGAAAATTGAAATTAAATTTTCAGAACAGAAATTGAGAAATGTCATAGGTAAAATATATAAGAGAAGGATCTCAAACCTTTATTTCTTAGTATGGTACAGTGGTGTCTAGCACTGCAATGAACAAGAGTTCTCAAAATAAATATTCTTCCCCCAGACAACAAGTCATTTGATGAACCTAACCCAATGAACTTTATTTATACAGCAAAATCACAAATTAATTGTAAAAAAAACAATGCAATGATAGTTTACTATATGAAGGCAAGCAGATTGACACCTGCTGATTAAAACGTAGTTCTAAAAAAATTTCCACCTTGTACTTGAAGCTAACATTTTAAAAAATGAATTAGTGACACAAACACACCGATTCTTAGTGTGATTCTTATGGGATAATATGCCATGATAAGATTACAATAAAATATTAAATGAACAGTGTACAAACATCACAACCAGTCATACGGCCTGAGAGAGAGTTGAAGTCTTTGATAAGAATCAAAAGTGTCGTTCTAAAAATAGCTTTAATTTTATGTGTATACAAATCTTAAGCAATTAAAATAGGAACTGTGAAGTAAAATTTTATGAAGTAGATTATAAGAGAATCAACAAATATACATAAATTACTATGTGCATTTTACATATAAATTTCAACATCTCCTTTTCTCATACTATTTTAAAATTATTATAAGGCAAAGTAACTATTTCCTGGCATATCTAAAATACTCTGCTAAATAAAGACCACAAAAAAATCTTGAGAGGCCTAGAGCTGCTATTTTTAAAAAGAAAATGTAAGGGCATAAGGTAATTCAATTTATTTTCTGCACTTGGATTGCTTTTTTTTTAAATGATTATTCTTTTGAACAGCTCAATACATTTTAAAATAAAGGGGAAATTAAGATTTATTTTTCAATAAAATATAAAATAGGGCATCACAGAAGCTCTTATTTTGAGCAAAAAGTTTTACAATTTTCTAAGTACCGGTAAATAAGCTTGAATTTTTTTTTATTAAACTAGTCATCATACATTATAAAATAATATTGCATCTCATTTATATTTTAGTTTCAGACCACTTTATTTGCATTTATTTTAATAGCACAATTAATGAGAAATGAAACATATTTCACAACTCACTCCAATAATGATTGATTATCTATGTATTGAGACTACAATGGCTTCTAATTGGTTTCCACAAAAAAATAATTCATGAACCAGAGTTTTTATTTTTTGAGACTATATTACAATTACTATCCCTTTTATTACAATTAATTTTTTCCTTTTTAAAAATAAATCTGTTTGACCCTCTTATAACATCATTTTTAAAACATCGCCAAAACAACACCACATTCATAATATCTAAAAGGAACATTGCTGTACAACCCAATGTTAGAAACTCCAGTGTCACCAGATGATACATAGTGAAACAAGAAGATGTGATGATGTACAATGGAGCTCCTCTAAATACAAGATAAGTAGCCAGGTTGAGATACTTGATTAAGATATATTTTGGGCTTTCAAATGGCGTTCTCACTATGAGGAGAAGTCTTCTCCAGTGAAGAAATACAGAATTCACTTCTACGCTTAGAGCCAAGATACTAAACCCAATAAGGGCTTTCATGTAAATGCAGTAATAGAACAATGCAAAACACTGCAAAAGAGGTAGGAAAAAACAAAACAATTTATTTATATTCAAAGTATTGAGTGCAATTATTATAAATGATTGATTTGAAATGAATGATTTAAACTGACTTTATGTTAAAAATAAAATTCTTTTTAAGGGCATTGATAAAAACAAAAACAATTGATAAAAATAATGTAAACTTCAGCTCAAAGTCATAACTCTAAATTTTATTGTTAGCGTTGGAATGGCTTCAGGATTTGTTAAACATATCTATAAGCAATTACTTGTATGTTAAATAAATAACGTTATCTTCATGCAAAAATTTTAAGAATAAGCAAATTAGGTCTGAAAATTTCTGTCAAGAGGGATCAAAAAACATTTTTAAATCAGGATAAAATGTTGCAAATTTAAACAAAAATATTAACTTTTAAAACTCATCTAGTGTTAGTTTTATTAAGATTTAAAAAATAAAAAACATTTTTTTATCAGACAAGTCACTTAAGTTATTGTGACATTACAATTAACAGCCTATTTTTTTAGAAAAAGGGTGGGTGTAAGGCTAAAAAAAAAGGACAAAAACTAGGCCCCTATACACCATTTAAATAAACTTGTTACAAAATAACAAATTGTTGCATACCTTAAGAACTACAATACTTTCATTATTTCTATGACAATTATCAATTCTAGGACTCTAGTACAGTGGAGATCAAGTTGGTACTTACAGCAATATGATGAATGACTATCTCCCAACGTAGCGAAATTTTTTTGTTACACACTATATCCAGGAAATCATATAAGAAATAACCTGAAAAAAAGAATTATCTTAAAATCATTTTTTTTTTAAAGTTAAACTGAAACAATTTAAGGATGTAAAACCATTAGCGAATAAAAACAATGAACAGATAAAATTTATAAGATTGAATAAATTATTCAATAAATGCTTCTTTTTTAGAGAAAATAGAATAGACAATAGTAGTTTTTAAGTAATCTCTTTCATAAATAAAAATTAATTATATTACTATATTTATTACCAAGCAAAACCAATATTGAGAGTATTTTTTTTTTTCAAAAGGTCAGAGCTTGACAGAAAAATTATAAAGTAGTATTGCTTAACTTGAACATTTTAAAATCATTTTGGTATGTGTTTTCAAGAGAGTACTTACCTGTACCAAAACAAGTACAGAAATATGTGACATAGTTTATGTGGTATACGGGATCATTAAATAGTTCAGGATACATGAGAATACTGAAAAAAAAAATTGTTTACAGTCTAGTCAAAGATTAATCTTTCATAATATGGCAATCAACTAATCATTCTGCAGTATTTGTATTTTTTACAAATAATGTCAAATAAAAACAACTTATTTATGATATTGTGATAGACAGGGTGGGTTGGACGGGAACCTATATTTTTCTATATATTGAGGGGCGCCATTTTCAGTAATCCGAACATTTTTTTATGGGGGAGGATGTGACTGAAACCTTGGCCCAAACTGGTTGTTACTGACCCTAGCTGCACCATTACAAGTAATGTGTTTATTAATTTGGTCCAAAAAACATGGTTTAATTACTTTAGTTTTAATTATAATAAAAGTTAATTATAAATTGCTTATGAATGTTAAGTTTTCTATCAATTTTATTACAAAAATGTCTTTTTTTTTTTTTCAAAATATTTCATTTACATGATTTTAAAAATATTTTAGTCATCATAAAATAGTCAATTATAAGAGTTGCATTTTATTAAAAAAAAGTTCTTAATATTCTTCGTTCCCACATAGAAGTGAACATCAACATGTCAAAGTAAAGAAACAATAGAAAGTAGTTCACAAAAAAGTTTAAACCATGCTGCACACATCCTATTAACACCTTAACAAATTATTAAAGATTTGTTATAAGAAAATTTCCAATAAGAAGCAACTGGAGAAATAAGCATGTATCATTTTATTTTACATGAGAAATGATTACAACCGAATCATTTCATTATGCAATAATTATACATTCTAGTTACCACTACTTTACTTTAGTTTGTGTAACAATGTTATTTATAAATTATATTAATAACTCTAATAAACAAATGTATCCTGTTGGAAGGGGGAGAAAAAAGGAGGGTGGGGGTAGATTTAATTATTGATTGACTTGAGTTTATATTTTTACAAAATTCCCACTAGAGACCTTAAATCAGGCAGATTTATGACATGTACATACAGTTGCCCTGGTCTGCGAGAGATAAAAGTAACAAAGATTTGGGCAAAACTCATTGTGATCAATGGCCTATGGTATAAGTATAATAATTGTTGTGCAACTTACCACATTAGAACCCACATAGCACATAAGCAGGAATGGATCCATGAAACGTACAGATTTCTCCACGACCATTCTTCCTCGTTTAACGATGTCGGTCGTCTTATAGACTTGACCGCACCTTTGACTAAGACGTAGAAAAAAGTTGTACTACCAAGAACCACAATCGTACCGTATTTAAACTCTATTCCATCCCTTGCTGTTGAAAAGTCACTATTGTCTTCTACAATCATTTTTTGAAGTAGCAGGCCTATTTATAGGCTGTGTTGTGATACACGATATATTCTATTTATAGTCAGGTGAGCTTGACTTGAGTTGAAGTGGTCGTGGAAATAACGCCTTCAGCTACAGGCTACACTATACTATATACAGTGTGCAGTAGTACATCGATTAATCATTAATTGATATTGATAAATAAATACCTTGGCCTTTAAACATAAAAAAAAAGAGAAATTTGAAACGAACATAGATATGATAAAAGACTTCAGCTTGTTATATGAATACAAAAATATGTGTTTTCCTTTAAAGAGATTTGCTGCATCTGATTCATTGAATCACTTTTTAATTTGTAATCTAAACGAGAAGAGTAAGAGTATACCCTAACGGTACACCGGAAAGTGGCGTTCATAGCAACATGAGTGGACATGCTGGTTCTCAAATTAGCGGAATAATTTAAAAGTTCGCATGAAGACAACACTTTTGATTGCCCGTATGTCGCAAAATGCCATTGGTTGTAAGCGGTAAGGCAATATTGATATCATATCACTAAGCAATTTTCTGGCGACAGAAAGTGCTTTGCCGAAGTGTATACGTGTACTGCGGTAAATTGATACCTGTTTGAGACCTATCACTATTACTCTTATTCACTCCTGTATTATCATGCACTGGCGGTCCTTCATTTTTTTTTAGAAAAGGATTCATGGTTCACCGGAGCGTACCATTTATAAAAAAAATTTAAACAAGATCAAGGCCTGGGGGGTTCTCAAAGAAACGAATAAGTAGGCTACCCACGAAAAAAAAAATGTCGCGAATCACAGACAACAAGGTTTCGTAGATCTTAAGCATCTTATATTTTTAAAACTAAAATGGGACGCTCAACTATTAGCGGACAAAAAGAGAGTGTTTGGGGGTGGGGGGTAATTTATACGGGCTGAGAACTCTTAACTCTAATTTAAAAAAAAAATAAAAAAATTTAAGAACAAACATGCATTATCTGCACCAGTGTCCATTTTGGGGAAAATTGGAGGGGGGGGAGGGAGGGAGGGAGGAGAGTGGTATATTTCATGGGCGTTCAATCCCGGAATGATGGGACATCACCCCCTCCTTAGTGCAGTTACAATTAATTTCTTTTTAATCCATTAAGGAAGAGAAAACTGCGGAACAAAAAGGGAGAGAAAACCGTGGAACAAAAAGGGAGAGAAAACTGAGAACAAAAAGAGGAGAGAAAACTGAGGAAGGGACCGACACAACGGCCAAAGTAGAGTTCAGGGGTGGGGTGTGTATGAATACAGTGGTATACATACAGTGGCGTTGTATGGAGGCGTAAGGGATGGTGGACCTTGGGCGGAATTGTTGGTCAACTGCACAATTGTTGTTTTATAGAGGGAGGCGACAAAATCCTTGGCCAGCCCTTAGCAGCACTAACACCAGCTCCGTCACAATTAGGCCCCCACACTCTCGTTACACAACCATTACTTGGGGGCACCATCGCTTGGATTTGAAAAGAGCCACGAAAGACTGAAACAAGATGAATTTTTAAAATTCCTATATATTGACATTGAATTCGCTGGCGCAATCTCCGGACGCCTAATTGACCCACTTCCCATCAACTTATCGAGCTGAAACTTGGCACATGGACTTGCAGCCGATGACAACACATTCGGTCAACCACCTCCCCAACCCAAAAGCCCCAACATGAAGTTTTTCCCCCTGTTTTGTCCAGGGGAAGATGAAGGAAATATGATGACGATGATTTCACGAAATAAAATTCCCGATAACTGCGCTAAATGAGATTCTTTTTAAAAAAAAATAAATATCCCAAGTGCTTTTGGTGCGTATATTTTCTTTTGCTGTTCTGTTTGGGAAATAAATAAATTATTATGCGATGTAAAAGTGGGTGGGTTATTAAAATAATAATATAGTTCAGGGGCGTGAAAAAAAATGTGCAGTTGCGGGGGGGGGGGGGGGGGGCGGGGGGATACCTAATTGGAAGTTTTGGAAAGTGCGTTACTTGTAGGCATTTTTTTTCCTCGAATTTTCAGCCCCACCCCATTGCTTTATATTACATTTTTAAAAGGATTTATACGAAAAATTTGTCTTAAATACCCTCTCGTTACGTCTTACTTATTATAAGAGAAATTTAATTATTTGATGTTTTGTCTCTCGGTTTCATCTTTATTTTTCTGATTGGTAAATAAACAATTTGCATTTTTTTAAAATAAAGTATATCTATAAATAAATATTGTTTCTGTTCAAAAGCACTTGATTGATGATTAAAATTATTATTTTTTTTTAAATAACTAATTTTGTCTACACTTAATAATTAAGCATTTAATTGTGTTTCCTTCAAAATCAGCATTTAGGAACTTACCGCGTTTCCTTAGATTGGCTGTTATCAACAGAAAACCATTCTGATAAATCATAAACACTCCTGGCTATCATCATACAATTTAGCTTATCAGTGGCGTGGCTGCTGAGGGGGTGGGGGGGGTAGAGTGTGGGCTGCAC